GAAATGGGCAAAAGATCTAAATAGACATTTTTCCAAAGAAGATATACAGATGGCCAAAAAGCAAATGAAAAGATGTTTAACATCACTAATTATCAGAGAAATGCAAATCAAAACTACAGTGAGTTATCACCTCACACCAGTCAGAATGGCCATCATCAAAAAGTCCACAAATGATAAATGCTGGTGAAGGTGTGGAAAAAAAGGAACCTTCCCACACTGTTGGTAGGACTGTAAATTGGTACAAGCCTATGGAGAATAGTACGGACGTTCCTTAAAAAACTGAAAATAGAACTACCATATGATCTAGCAATCACACTCCTGGGCATATATCCGGAGAAAACCATAATTTGAAAAGATACATGCACACCAACGCAGCACTATTTACAATAGCCAGGACATGGAAGCAACCTAAATGTCCATCAACAGAGGAATGGATAAAGAAGACGTGGTACATATATACAACGGTATATTACTCAGCCATAAAGAAGAACAAATAATGCCGTTTGCAGCAACAAGGATGGACCTAGAAATTATCATACAAAGTGAAGTAAGTCAGACAGAGAAACACAAACATTATATGATATCATTCATATGTGGAATCTAATTTTAAAAATGATACAAATTCTGTTTACAAAACAGAAACAGACTCAGATTTTGAAAACAAACATATGGTTACCAAAGGGGAAATGTGGGGGGGTGGAGAGATAAATTAGGAGCTTGGGATTAACATACACACACTACTATACATAAAATAGATAACCAACAAGGACCTACTGTATAGCACAGGGAACTCTATTCAATATTCTGTGATAACCTATATGGGTAAAGAATCTGAAAAAGAATGAATACATGTATATGTATAACTGAATCACTTTGCTGTGCACCTAAAACTAACAACATTGTAAATCAACTCTACTCCACTAAATTAAAAACAAAAAATGTAGGTTCTTCTAAATTAGAATTCAAGACCAGAATGACATCTGGAATATCCCAAATATTTGGAAACTGAAATTACCCACAAAGCGATGAGGAAATTAGAACATATTTTGAATTAACTGAAAATGAAAACATTAAAATTTGTGGAGGTGGAGTAAAAGTGGTACTTAGGGGAATATTCATAGCACTAAGTAACTGCATCATAAAAAAAAGGTCTGAAATCAGTGACCTCAGCTACCACCTTAGAAAAAGAGACAATTAAAACCAAAGTAAGCAGAAGAAAGGAAATAATAAACATCACTAGGAATAAGGAATAGAAGAACAGGGGTTGGCAAAGTTCATGCTGTATGTGAAAGCTAGCTCCATGGCCTGCTTTTGTGTTACAACTGAGCACTGAGCAGCTGTAACAGAGACTATGTGGACTACAGTCTAAAATAAAGTTTGATGACCCTAATAAACTAAAAGACAAAAACTCTATGATCATCTCAACAGATGCAGAAAAGGATATGACAAAATCCAACATCCATTCCTGATAAAAACTCTCAGTGAACCAGGAATAGAAGGGAACTTCCTTAACCAGATAATGGGCATCTACAAAAAACTCAGAGTTATGTTATACTTAATGATAAAAGACTGAGTGCTTTCCACCTAATATCAGGAACAAGATAGGGACTTCTGTTCAAACCACTTTTATCCGGTACTCTCCTAAAGGTTCTAACTAGTCCAGTTAGGCAAGAAAAAGAAATAAAAGGCATCTAGATTAGAAAGGAAGGAATAAAACTTTTGATTCACAGAAAACATGACCATGGCGTAGAAGACTTGATATAATTTACAAAAAAGCTATTAGAACTAAAAGGTGAGTTTAGCAAGGATGCAGGACACAAGTTCAATATCAATTGTATTTCTATTTATAAACAATTAGAATTTGAAATTTAACAATACCATTTACAACAGCATCAAAACTATGAAATGCTGGCAAGAGATATGATAGACCTGTATACTGAAAACTACAAAATATTGCTGAGAGAAAAGGAAGAAGACAAAAATAACTGGGCTGTTTATGGGCTGAAAGGTTCAATATTGTTAAGATGTCAATTCTTCCCAAATTGATACACAGATTCAATGCAGTTCCAAACAAAATGCTACCAGGTCTGTTTTTGGCAGAAACTGACAAGCTGACCCTAAATTTCATATGAAAAGCAAAGGACTTAGCACAGCCAAGACAAATAAGAAAAAGTACAAATTTGGAGCAAACTAGATAATGCTATCTATTTCTAGAACTATTCTAATCACCGACCTCAGCTTCCACCCTAAATAACTAGAAAAAGAAGAAATTAACCCCAAAGTAAACAGACAGAAGGAAATCATGAAGATCACTACAGAGGTCAAGGAATAGAACAGGGGTGGGCAAACTCCATGCTGTGGGTGAAGCCCAGCCCCAGGGCCTGCTTTGTGAATAGACTGCTTGGCACAGCAAACCATTCACTTGCGTACTGTGAGGACAAAGGTACTACAGCAGTTGAATATCCATATACCATCCCCACACCCCTGCCGTGACCTTGGAATCCACACCTTACACCATATACAAAAATTAACTCAAAATGGATCATAAACTTAAGTGTAAAACCTAAAAGTTTCCTTCTAGATGAAGGAAAAAATTTTTGTAACCTTGGGCTGGAAAAAAATTTCTTAGATATGACTCCAAAAGCATAAAAAAACACGAATAAATTTGATTTTATCAAAACCAAAAACGTCTACTTTTCAAAAGATTCTGTTAAGGGACTTCCCTGGTGGTCCAGTGGGTAAGACTCTGTGCTCCCAATGCAGGGGGCCTGGGTTTGATCCCTGGTCAGGGAATTAGATCCCGCGTGCATGCCGCAACGAAAAAGTCCGCATGCTGCAACCAAAGATCCAGCATGCTTCAATTAAGACCTGGCGCAGCCAAACTAAATAAATAATTTAAAAAGAAAAAAAAAAAGGCGGGGCTTCCCTGGTGGCGCAGTGGTTGAGAGTCCACCTGCCGATGAAGGGGACACAGGTTCGTGCCCCGGTCCGGGAGGATCCCACATGCTGCGGAGTGGCTGGGCCTGTGAGCCATGGCTGCTGAGCTTGCGCGCCCGGAGCCTGTGCTCCGCAGCGGGAGAGGCCACAACAGTGAGAGGCCCACGTACCGCAAAAAAAAAAAGAAGGAATAGACAGACAAGCCACAAACTGGGAGAAAAATCTTTGCAAAGCATATATCTCATAAAGGACTTATATCCAGAATATATAAAGAACTCCCCAAACTCAATTAAGAAAACAACCTAGTTTTTTAACAAATGGACAAAGATTTAGACAAACCAACGAAAGATATACACATTCCAAATAATCACATGTAAAGATACTCAACATCATTAGTCATTAGGGAAATGCAAATTAAAATCTTAACAAGATAGCACTACACGCCTGTCAGAATGGGTAAAATTTAAAAGGCTAATCGTAGCAAGTGTTGGAGAGGATGTAGAAGAACTGGAATTCGTACACTGCTGGTGTGAATGCAAAATGCACAACAACCCTGGAGGAGTTTGGAAGTTTTCTTAAAAAGTTAAAATTATACCTACAGTATGACCCAGCCATTTTACTCCTAGTTATTTGCCTCAGAGGAAAGGAAATACTTGTCCATAAAAGACTTGTACACAAATGTTCCTGGCACCTTTTTTGTAACAGCCCCAAACTGGGAATAACACACTATTAGCAAAGGGGGTAGGGGGGAGTGACTCTGGGAGTGACTCTCATTAATTCCTACATATTGTGGCAAAAGCCATCAAAATTATAACTGTCCTACAGACAAAGCTGTATATGTATAGAATGATATATGTACAAAGTTACTCACATAGGTTTGTCTATAATAGCAAAAGGATGGAAACTGTTCAAGTGTCCATCAATAAGGCAATAGATTTTTTTCTCAAAGGTATTTAACAACCTCTATTAGTTTGCAGGGGTTGCCAAAACAAAATACTACAGACTGGGTGTCTTAAACAAAAGAAATTTCTTTTCTTACAGTTCTGGAGGAAATCCAAGGTTATTAGCAAGTTTGTTTTTCCTGAGGCCTCTGTCCTTGACTTGCAGATGGCTGCTTTCTTTGCTATTACATTTTGTACTATACGAAAACATTGTTTTTTCTAAAGTTACAAAATAGAATAAATTCAACTCATCCAAAAATACTATCAATTGTGAAAAGCAATAGATCATCTGAAATCTACATCTTCCTCCTCTAAATCCTAAAAGATTAATGCATTATCATTACAGATACTTCTTTTAGTTATATAAGACAAAAAAGGGAAGACAGATACATATTAGGAATGACCATATGTAGAGAAAAGAAAACAATTCCTCAAAACATTTCGAAATATAGAATATTTAGAAAAACATGATTAACTGAAATTTACTTAAGAAAAAGTAGAAAACTTGACCATAAACTAAAGAAAATAAAAAATTCATCAAAGATCAACATCTCTCTCCAAAGAAGACTCATATTGAGATGGTTCTATAGGTATTAATGCTATTTTAAAAGGTACATTTCTATTAGAAATAGATAAAGTAACAAGCACCACTAAAAAGAGACACCAGAACACTGACACCCCATCTGACTGTGGGCCTCTCATTCTGCCTTCATGTGGTTCACGTGGCCTCTTCACTGAATCTGGGCGCCTATGACTGTATTAATTGACTGGATTTGGCAGAAATGGTACTAGTTCAGTACTAGGACTAGCCCTTCAGAAAACTAGCAGCGGGACTTCCCTCGTGGCACAGTGGTTAAGAATCTGCCTGCCAAAGCAGAGGACACAGGTTTGAGCCCTGGTCCGGGAAGATCCCACATGCCGTGGAGCAAATAAGCCTGTGTGCCACAACTACTGAGCCTGCGCTCTAGAGCCCGCGAGCCACAACTACTGAGCCCACGTGCCACAACTACTGAAGCCCGCATGCCTAGAGCCCGTGCTCCACAACGAGAAGCCACCGCAATGAAAAGCCAACACACCGCAACAAAGAGCAGCCTCTGCTCGCCGCAACTAGAGAAAGCCCGCACGCAGCAACGAAGATCCAACACAGCCAAAAAAATAAATTTTTTTTTAAAAACAATGTAAAAAATTTTTTTAAAAAAAGAAAGAAAGAAAACTAGCAGCACCCACATCCACCCTCTTAACACTGCAGGTGTCCTAAGCTGCCAGGTGAGAAGCCCAGCCAGCTTGCTGGAGAGAACCACGGGAGAGGCCCACATGGAGACCAGAGGCCAAGCCATCCTGGCCAAGCCACCACCTGAATGCAACTGCATCAGGAACCCCAAGCAAGATCTCCAGAACCTCCCAGCTGAGCCCACTCAACCCACAGAACTGGGAGAACTAATAAAATGGTGTCATTTAAAGCCACTGTGTTCAGATGGCTGTTTCATAGGAACAGATTATTGAAAACACTGACGAAGTATAGACACATATGTGAAGACACACACGTTTCCCTCTTCCCAAACACTATAAACCAGCATCACTCACAGTTGCAAAATTCCACAATAAAATAACACCAAATCAAATCCTGCAGTTCACTGAATGGTTAACACATCACAGCCAAGAAGAATGTTAAAAATGGAATGCAAGATAGTTCAACAATAAAATTCTATATATATAATTCATAAACTTTAAGGAGTTAAGTGAGAAACCATATATGATCATCACTTAAGTTCTCCAAGTGTACTTGGAAAAATCATGTTTGTTAACTACCACTGTTTTGTTTTATTATGGTATTACATTTATTTTGAGGTTTCAAGTTGCACTGGCCACAAGTTTTGGTAGTTTTCCTGGAGAAGTATGGGATAGAGAGATTAAGAAGACTGTGGCATTCCACTCAAGTCAGGAAAAAGATAAGCTGTTAGCTATTACCAGCAGTAGTCAACATTTTCCTGACAGTTCTAGACAACAAAATCAATGTGAAAAAGAAATGAGTTTATACAGGAATGTGGCCAAATCATCATAATTTACAGCTTTTTTATATGTATCAGCCAAAACCAATTAGAAAAATATAATAGAAAAGAAGATTCCATTCATATTAGAAACAAAAACTAGAAAGTAATTGGGCAAACACTAAAAAGAAATGGGATTGCACTTATATCCGTAACCAGTTAACGGTGGACACACTGGATGGTGGTATTCATTTTTTACACTGTATTTTTTTTTACCTTTTTAACTGTGCATATATTACCTCTATAATAAGAAAAAAACATATATTTTAAAATTCTAGCCACAATTCTAGAGCCAGTCAACATAAATCAATAAAACCTACAAAATTTTAACTTTTCAACAAGCATACATTCACTTCAAATAAGGAATATACTTATTATTTTATTCTGGGAATTAAACAGAAAAGTACAACATATATCAATAATTTATGTACAGGAATGATGCTGGGCTGGCAACAGGGCAATGGTCTTCACTGCTGTCTGTCCTCACGGCTGATTCACACGGACTCTAGGACACCTGCACATGGTTCCACACGCTTGGAAGAGCAAAATGCAAGGGAAGGAAGTGACCACTGATGGACAGTTAAAACATCATCCATCCCATTCACTAGGGAAATATTCCATATTGTTTATTGCCAGAGATTCAGATGAAAATCTGATGTGGCTACAAACCGATGGGAGGAATTATTTCTAAAAATGAGGGAATTCCCTGGCAGTACAGTGGTTAGGACTCTGTGCTTTCACTGCTGAGGGCATGGGTTCAGTCCCTGGTCGGGAAAGTAAGATCCCGTAAGCCGAGTGGCGCGGCCATAAAAATACATAAACAAAAACAAACAGTCTGTCAAGGGCTGCCTACTGACCTAAGTACGTGTGTTGTGAAAATATGCAGATCCACACCCTAGGTAGAGCCTCTCTATAGCTTGATTTCTTGAGTATAATTTTGGCCAGAAACATTTGCCTGTTTAAGAAATAAACTGCACAGAGAGTGTCAGGTACTGTGTTTATCTGGATTTTAAATTTAAATGCTTGAGATTACAGCCCAGCATCATTCCTGTACGTAAATTATTGATATATGTTGTACTTTTCTGTTTAATTCCCAGAATAAAATAATAAGTATACTCCTTATTTGAAGTGAATGTATACTAGTTGAAAAGTTAAAATTTTGTAGGTTTTATTGATTTATGTTGAATGGCTCTAGTCACTGGTCATGGAGGGGCTGGTGCGGAAAGGCCACTGACCACCAGGCAAGACCACTCTGTGCCTCTCCGATGTCTACCATTTTCAGTTTATCAGGCAACAGAAACTGCGCTCCACTTAGCTGACCAGCTTTTCATGTGACTTTCTGGTCACTGTGACTGTTGGGGGGAAACTGCACAAAGTTCCTTTCCTAGCCCCAATTTCAATTTCCCTTTCCAAAGGGGAGATCCTGGTGCTCACCCCACAAGCTCGCAGACACGCATGAGCCAGATCAGCCACCACTGCTGGAAATGGGCAAAATCCATTGTATCCTTCCTTTCTTCCTTAACAGCCAGGTGATAAGTTAACATGTTATTGAACATTAAATACGCTGAAAATTTTATAGGCCATCAGCTCTACCTGCCCATGTGATTTGGAAACAGGAATTGCAGAAATTCAGCTCCCTGGCTTGCACAATGCACACTTCCAGCAACACAAGATGCACAAGGACCTCCTATCTCCCTATACAGCCAGGTGAAACTTCCTCATTGTTTAAGAGATTAAAATGTAATATTGATAACTTACTTTCATTAAACAAAAACACACTATAGTATTTTGGGAACTGTATATAGTATTTTGGGAATTGTAGGAATGTTGTGATTACAGATACAACGTACCACACAAAGGGGAGAATCCTGTACAATAGAAAAATAAACCACTTCCACCTTGTGAGCACAGAATGAGAAGATGGCGGTGTATGAACTAGGAAGCACTCTCTTTAGGCACAGAATCTGCTAGAGTCTTGATCCTGGACTTCCCTCTAGAACTGTGGACAGCAGATTGGATATGTGGAGTCTCTGTATGGCAAGAATTCAAACTCTCTATTGAGAACTGATGCTTCAAAAGGCAAGCATACAACATAGATTCAAAAATATGTTTACCATGAAAGGTAAATTATATTTACTTGAATTATATTTGGAAATTAAATAAAAGAGAAACTAAGGTTCAAATGAAAGAAAAGAAAAAGAAAAACAAACCATACTCCTTGGCCAAGCATTCCTGGTTAAAGTAAGTCTAAATTTTAAAACCAAAAAGTGGTGGGCCTGGGGGAGGTGGAGAGGGAGACGGAGAAGTGTCCTTGGCTGAGTCCAGCCTCGAACGGGGGAAGCCTTGGCAGCCATCTGGCGCGAGGTCACGACAGCACGTGCTCCAGGATGCCCTGTCTAATCAGCTGCTCACACTTCCACCGAGGCAGAAGGTGCTGAGGGAAGAGGGGGAGGGGAAACAGCAATGAAAAGAATGTTCAATGACATGATGCATCACTAAAACGCAGCAACGCATTATATATGTATTTCAAACTCCACCAGCTAAGTAGTTAAAAGCTAAACTTAAGGATTTCTGCTATTTTAATCAACTGAAATGGATGTCACCTAGAGCTGTACTGAAATCTGAATTTTATAAACAAATTCATGTTTTGCTTAAGTTAAATTTAACTACAGAGTTTTGAATTCTAGTAGGTATTTTCCTTAATGTTTGCATTTTAAAATTTATGCACAGGGGCTTCCCTGGTGGCGCAGTGGTTGGGAGTCCGCCTGCCGATGCGGGGGGCGCGGGTTCGTGCCCCGGTCCGGGGGGATGCCACGTGCCGCGGAGCGGCTGGGCCCATGAGCCATGGCCGCTGAGCCTGCACATCCGGAGCCTGTGCTCCGCAACGGGAGAGGCCACAACAGTGAGAGGCCCGCGTAACGCAAAAGAAAAAAGAAAAAAAAATTATGCACAGAAAACCCAGGTAGGTGAGATTTGGGGCACTGGATCACCAGTGGTACAGCAACAGCTCATTAGGAAGGCAAATGGAAGGAGTGTCTTCTCCATTAAACATTTTCTAGGATCTGAGTCTGAACAGTCATTCTTCTACTAACAGTGCAACTCTTCTCCCATATTTTCCAAGGATTAAAAGTCATTGTAACCTATGACATGGGTGCTGGTCACACGCTGTATGTGAGGATGCCAGTGCCTGGCTAAGGCTCATCCTCAACGTCTCCTGAGAGGACACCGCTCTCGTTCTGAGGTGGAAAGGAGTCTCCTTGTCTGATTCCCTCTCAAAACACCAGGGCTTAAAACAAAAGTGAACATTTAGTAAACTCTGGAGCGGGGAGGTGCTGGAAGTGAGGCAGGAAGACTTTCCAAGCTCATAAGTGACCAAAGAAATCTCAAAGACGAGACAGAGATACTTGGGTAAGAACAAGAAACAGTACATTAGAAAGTGCAGTGTAGGTAACCCTAGAAAGTAACTGAAGGAGAGAGTATGCAAAGTATTCAAGGAAGCGGAAAGGCCTCAGGTGAGACCCATGACCAAAGAAACTCCTCCAAACCAGTCATGAAGACCCATGGGCCAAGGACTGTCGTCTAATTTAACCGAATTTTTAAAATGCCTTAAGAATATAAAATGTAAAAAAAAAAAGAGAGCGAAAAAACTATAGAGTTGCTCATTTAACAATTATTCCAATATCTACTAAAAAGAGGGAGTTCTGATTTCTGGACAACCAGCATGCTTGCCATAGACTCAATAATAAAGGAATGTACAGTAGGAAAATGTTTCCCTATTAATATTTTATATTATGTGGGTGATCTACACTATACATTTTATAGAAAACTGGTTTCAGATGTGCTCAGACATTTTAGAAGCCCCTTAATATCAATTAGAGTAGATTATGCTTTTAAGTTTCCCCATTTTTATAGGGTGATACTGAGAGACAAAGTCTCATTAAGAGGAAGGCTTCTGAATGCACCACACAGTAAACAGCAATCGTCTAACAGCAGCAGACGGAGCAGGCGCTGGGTTTCGGCCGCCCTGGCCCCACCCAGGCCCTCCCTGCTGAGGAGTCTTAGTACACCTGGTGGGAAGACTGGCCACAAAGCTCAAGAAAGAAATTCAACCATGGGACACTGTTTGGGGTGAAGTGCATTTTCTCACATCTTGCTTTATGAGGCTAGCTTTGTTCTTGTGAACCCAGAGCTTCACCATCTATTTTCTATTCATTAGTATCCTTGGAAGGGAAACTTTTGCCTTAACAACCAAAGATTTTAGGGTACCCTGAAAATCTGTCTTTAATAATTTCAACTTTTGTTTCAGGAAACTATTTAAAACTCCAAGGGTACTAGTAAAATAAGAGACCAACTCACCCTCCCTTAGGGAAATGAGCTAAGAACCACATAACCAGAACCATTCTTTGGCTCAACAGAACAAACAGAAGTCAACAAAAGTGACTAGGGTCATTAAATACCGACCGTCTCATAACAAGATGGCAGGCAACAAAGGAAAGAGTGGTTTTTACTAGTTCACCTTTCCTCCTATGCTAATATGACTACAGAAAATACAGATAGGATAAAATAAATTTAGCTACTGTGAATTCATCTAATGTGAACTTGAAGATTTCTAAGGAAACAATAAATTGAGATTCTTTGTAAGGAAAAATTTAGTGAGTTACAATTTCAGTCTTTCCCTATTAAATTCTATTATGTTTATATATTAAATACTTAGAAATTTTTTGATACATATCACTATTTGTTAGCTAAAGAACTAAGATTTACAAGGTGAAGAAGTATAGGCTGAAAACTAGTGCTTAGCACCTTTTTAATAAATAATTTGAAGAAAGGAGCTAAATGCAACAACATAATAGCCCCTTAACTAGAGTAAGACCCACTGTGGCAACTTCCCAGGTAAATGCTTAGTATTAAATTCAAGCAATACCCTAGTAAATTATAGCTAATGCTTGAGCATGGGTTTGAACTGCATGACTCCACTCAAATATGCGTATATGTATATATATATATATATACACACACACACACACATATATAAAACCTGTATTTTCATTTTACAGATCTTTAAATTGACTAAGTATGGGGAAAAGTTCGTGTTCAATTAGAGATCACAACAGGTGGGATCAAAAGAACTAGGGCTTGGGTCCTAATTCTATTCAAACTGTTTTAGCTTCCAGCCTTTGGGTGAGTCATTTATCAATCCCTTTGTTTTTGAGGCAGAGAGAAGTACTCAGATTTCCGACTGTGTGGGGAGAGGGAGTCTGTAGGCACCCCTAATCCCTGTGCATTGTTCAAGGGTCAACTGTAATTAACCCTTTCTTACTATATGCAACGTTTGCTTCACGCCTTTACATTTAGAAAAAGGACAAAAGAGTATTTTATAATAAACATAATTCCTACGATACAAATGATCATCACAAGGTGATACTTACCTTGCTACTGATTCCAACATTTTCATCATTCAACACTCTTACAAAATTTAAAGTATCTTAAGACAATAAATACCTGGCTATTTTTTTTTAATAGGACTGAAGTACCATCATCAACTTCAAATTCTCCATAGTCTTTTAGACACCGCACCTGAAAAGAAAAACTGATGTTTTATCCAAATTACTTTTTAATATGTAGAAACCATAAAGCAGATGGGGATTTATATATACCCATATGAAAAGTATTAGGCTTTCTCTTTATTTCTTCTCTGTGTACTTAGGCCTAGTACTCCTTCCTGTGGTACTCTAGTGGTTCCAATGGTCCTGTTTTGACGGGGAGGAAGAAAAATGGCAAATCTCCGAAAATATGTGTACATCAGCACTGACAGCAAGGAAACCTAAGGAGCTGCCAAAAAGAGACAATGTCACTGGATTGTTTTCCCTCTGCAAATTGTGAAAAATCAAGCAGTTGAAAACACATCTACAGGGACTTCCCTGGTGGTCTAGTGATAAAGAATCCGCCTTACAATGCATGGGACGCAGGTTCAATCCCTGGTCAGGGAACTAAGATCCCACATGCCACACAGCAACTACGCCCATGTAACTAAGCCCGCGCACCACAACTACTGAGCTTGCGCACCTCAACTAGAGCCCGTGAGCTGCAAACTACAGAGCCCACAGGCCCTGGATCCCTGCGCCACAACTACAGAGTCCACATACGCTAGAGCCTATGCACCACAACCAGAGAAGAGAAAACCCGCACGCCACAACGAAAGATCCCTCATGCCTCAACGAAGATCCCACATGCCACAACTAAGACCTGACACAGACCAAAATAAAATTAAAAAGAAAACAAAAAAAAACCCATATCTACAAAGAAAAGAGAACATTTTAGATCTACCCCAACCTGCCTCTTACAGATTCCTCCCATAAAGTATCAATATCTGAGAACAGGACATAAGTCTATAAGATTTGTTTTACAGATTCTGCCAATCTCCTTTGACTGATTGATTCAGACTCTTTCCCAGTATTACTTAGAGGCACACTAGGAAAGAAAAGATACAGACTCATGCTACATGAATCAGGAGAGGCTCTTAGTTGGAAGGTGGGAGGGGTAAGGAGCCTGATAACCACTTCTGCAATTGCAAAGAAGGAACATTCAAAGGTAGCCCCAGAAATCTCAGACCTGGCTCAGCTTCAAGTGCTGCCACAGGAAGGCGGGAGGGCATTTTCATCTCCTATGAGAGTTCAGACCTGTTTATTCTCCAGAGTACTAGCACTGGTGTTAGCAAAGCCAACTCCAATGGCAAGTCTCTGATTCCTACTTTTCCTGGATAATTTCATGTCCTGTGATTCCTCTGCAATCCTACCATGACTCCCCAAGGTATTTTAAGTTGGTTTGAGAAATACAAGAAAAATCCCCACCACCACCAGCATTTTGCTTCTTTAAATAGACTTTTATTGTGGAAAATCTCAAACACATTGAAAAGTAAAAAGGCTAATAAACTCAATGTCCCACCAACTGGCTTCAACTACTATCAACATGTGGCCAATCTTGTTCCCTCGCCCACTTCTGGGTTATTTCAAAGCAAATCCTAGACATCATTTCATTTAATCTATAATTATTTTAGTGCTTATTTCTATAAAATAAGATTGTTTTAAAAAATCCCAATACCATTATCACATCTTATTAATAAATTTTTAATATTATGAAATACCCAGTTAGAATCCAAATTTCCCCATTTTGTCGCATGAATTTTTTTTTTTAAGTTGCCATGCTCAAATGAGAGTCAAACGAGAGCTACACATTACACATTTCTGATATGTCTCCAAGTCTCCTTTAATCTACAGGGTTCTCCCCCTTCCCCTTTCCCTTGGCAACTTACTTGTTAAAGAAACTGGGCAGTTTGGTAGTTTCCCAAAAATAGATTCTGTTGTGGACTCCTGTGGGGTCATTTAACATGTTCCCCCATCCCTGAATTTCCTATAAACTGGAAGTTAGGTGTAGGGGCTGGATCAGATCAGGTTTAGTTTTCTGGCAAATGGTGTTATGATGTCGTGAAGCACAAAATGTCTGGTGTCCCTTTTTGTCTTTTGGGTTTTTTTTTTTTTTTTTTTTTTTTTGGCTGTGTTGGGTCTTCATTGCTGCGCGCGGGCTTTCTCTAGTTGCAGCGAGCGGGGGCTACTCTTAGTTGCAGTGCATGGGCTTCTCATTGCGGTGGCTTCTCCTGTTGCAGAGCACAGGCTCTAGGAGTGCGGGCTTCAGTAGTTGAAGCACATGGGCTCAGTAGTTGTGGCACACAGGCCCTGGAGCGCGCAGGCTTCAGTAGTTGCAGCATGTGGTCTCAGTAGTTGTGGCGTGTGGGCTCTAGAGTGCAGGCTCAATAGCTGTGGTGCACAGGCTTAGCTGCACAGACTTAGTTGCTCCACGGCATGTGGGATCTTCCTGCATCAGGGATCAAACCTGTGTCGCCTGCACTGACAGGCGGATTCTTAACCATTGCACCACCAGGGAAATCCTGGTGTCCCTTTTTGGATGTTAAGATTGATCAATGGGCCTAGGTGCTATCCATACCCATCCACTACTAAGGTCTCTCTTAAGCTTTTCACCTAATGCTTTAGCAGCTACTTGCCTCCATGCATTAGGGCTACAAAACGGCATTAATGTTTTTTTATTCCTTCTGCATTTATTAGCTGGAATTCTTCTATACAAGAGATTTCCCTCGTAAACAATTTGGCTACCCTGAGATAGAATTTGTGCAGTAACGGAAGATGGATGCTTGACTCCATTCTTTCATTTACCATTTTCCAAAATGAGTTGCATCCTTCATATTCTCCAAGGAGACCCAAAGAGGTTTCAGTTTTAAAACTGTTGTTGTTAGGTGTCATTATCATTCATGCTTCTAACGCAATTGATGTGATGCAATTCACTGCAGTTTATCATTTTGATGCTCAAACTGTCCTTTCTTTGGCTAATGAGAGCTCCTTCGAATCAGCTCCCAAGTCTTTTCAGCACTCCCCTTGTAGTCCTTGATACTTTCTTTCTTTCCATGCTCAGCTTGTACATCTTTAATCTATTTGAGCCGTGGAATCGGCCACTTTCCCCCCAGGAGTCCTGGTTTCCTTTCACAGGAAATGGCATATAGACTCAAGAATGTGGATGCTCATGGCTACTGGGTTGGTCCTTGTTTCTAGGCCTTTTCAGTGGACAGAGCTAAGAAATACTTCTTTAGAAGAGATGATTCAACATGAGTCCATGCTATTACTTTTTTGCTCTATTCTTCAATATATAAACTGTTTATTAAAGAATATTATATTATTCTTAGGAATATTATTACTAATAACATTATTACGAATAATATGATTACTAAAAACAGGTTAAGATTTCTTTGTAATTCTTTTCATTCTTCGTATGTACGTACTAGGGAAATACAATCAATCTATGTGTTTTAAAGTAATTTAAATAACCACTGTTTGACTAATCTACCAACATGAAAACACAGGTTCATTTGTTTCATTTTGTTTTCAAAATGTGTAAGTTGGTTTTCCACTTGATTTCATTTTGTTTTAACAATTTGTAAAATATTTACATGGTTCCAAAGTTAAAATTTTAAAACAGGTACAGTCAGAAAATTTTAGCTGTTCCATCCTATTCCTGCCACCACCTACAGGTAAAATTTTTGGTTTGAGTTTGTTTCCTTTCTTTTTTGTGCTTTGCTTTATTGTGCTTCTCAGATATCGCCCTTTTTACAAATTGAAGGTCTGTGGCAACCCTGCATTGTCAGATGATGGTTAGCATTATAATGCTAATGCATATTCAACAGACTGCAGTATAGTGCAAACATAACTTTTATATGTACTGGGAAACCAAAACATTTCATGACTCACTTTATTGAATATGCACTTTATTGTGGGTCTTAAACCAAACCCATGATATCTCCAAGGTATGCCTGTATAAACTAATATATATTCATATACTCCTTTTCTTTTCTTTTTTTTTTGCGGTACGCGGGCCTCTCACTGTTGTGGCCTCTCCCATTGCGGAGCACAGGCTCCAGACGTGCAGGCTCAGTGGCCATGGCTCACGGGCCTAGCCACTCTGTGGCATGTGGGATCTTCCCGGACCGGGCACAAACCCGCGTCCCCTGCATCGGCAGGCGGACTCTCAACCACTGTGCCACCAGGGAAGCCCTCTTTTCTTTTTTTTTACATCTTTATTGGAGTATAATTGCTTTACAATGGTGTGTTTGTTTCTGCTTTATAACAAAGTGAGTCAGCTATACATATACATATATCCCCATATCTCCTCCCTCCTGCGTCTCCCTCCCACCCTCCCTATCCCACCCCTCCAGGTGGTCACAAAGAACCGAGCAGATCTCCCTGTGCTATGTGTCTGCTTCCCACTAGCTATCGATTTTACATTTGGTAGTGTATATATGTCCATGCCACTCTCTCACGTCGTCCCAGCTTACCCTTCCCCCTCCCTGTGTCAAGTCCATCCTCTACGTCTGCATCTTTATTCCTGTCCTGCCCCTAAGTTCTTCAGAACCTTTTTTTTAGATTCCATATATATGTGATAGCATACGGTATTTGATTTTCTCTTTCTGACTTACTTCACTCTGTATGACAGACTCTAGGTCCATCCACCTCTACGAGTAACTCAATTTCATTTCTTTTTATGGCTGAGTAATATTCCATTGTATATATGTGCCACATCACCCCTTAAACAAAAGTCATCACAGTCTATGCATTAAAGAAAAATCCATTTTAAAAAGGTATACTTACTTCTATGTATAGGTTTTTTGGAGGTTTCATATCCTGTGTGATGTCCAAACCTTCATGTCCTCCCAACGACCTCATGTAGGTAGCAAGGGACTTTTTGTAATGATTGAACCATTCCATCTACAAACATAAAGATGGCCATTTGACAAAGCTGTAAGAAAACAAACTTGCAGAAATTATATACTAATCCTTTCAAAAACAGCACACATCCCCACATGGATCATTACTACGACCATTCATTCAAACTACAAATATTAGTGACTGCCTGTTAGCACTGGTCTAGGTACTTAGGATCATTTAACAAAGTGAACAAACATCTCTGTTCTCACAGAACTTGCATCCCAGCATACTTAATCACAGACCTAAGGAACTTTCCACCAGAAACCAAACCATGAAAAATACACCATTTCAGAATTATGATCTCTTCAAACTCTGTATTGACAGGTTTTCTGAAACCTATAAAATGCTGTTGAGAAAAACACCCAAATGTCCATCAACTGATGAATGGATAAGATGTGTACATCCCTACAATGGGATTATTCAGTCGTAAATCAGAGTGGAGCTCTTATATGTGTTACCACATGGATGAACCTTAAAAACATGCCGAGTGAAAAACACAAAAGGCCACATATTGTACAATTCCACTCATATGAAAAATCCATACTAGGCCAATCCATGAAGAAAGTAGAGTAGTGGTCTCTAGGGCCTGGGAAGAGGGGACAGAATACGTTCTGGATAAGATGGTGGTGATGGATGTACAACTCTGTGAATATCCTAAATACACTGAATTGTATACTTTAAAAGGACAAACTTTAGGGGATGTAAATTATATCTCAGTAAATCTGTTTTTTTTTTTTAATTGTTGAGAGAAGTTAAAGAAAACCAAAATATGTGGAAGGATATACCACTTTCAAGGATTGGGTGATTCAGTATTGTAATAACGTCAACTGATCTATAGATCCAATTCAATCTCAATCAAAACCCCAATTTTTTAAAAAATGGAACTTGATAAATTGAGTCTAAAATTTGCGAGGAAATGCAGAAGGCCAAAAGCAGTGAAGACATTGAAAAAGAAGAACAAGATGGGAACACTTACTCAAGACTTATTATAAAATTCCAATAATTTAAATATGAAATTGGTACAAGGACAAATAGACTAAGAAAGAAGAGAAAGTCCCCCATCCAAAATCCACAGATATATTGACATTCAATTTATGACAAGTGGCACTGTGCACAGAGCAAGGGGAAAAGAGGACCTTTTCAATAAATGATGCCATCTCAATATCTATATTCAAAATGCAACTAGGCTCTTGCATTATTCACAAAAATCTATTCCAGTACTGTAAATCTCTTTGTGAAAGGTAAAACAAGATAACTTCTAAAAGACTATACACATAACCTGCATTAGTAAAGTGTGTGTGTGCGCATACATACACACACCCCTCCCTCAGGTTCAATAATTTGCCAGAATGACTGACAGGACCCAGGAAAGCACTACACTGACAATTACAGTTTTATTGCAGATACAAATCAGAACCAGCCAAAGGAAGAGACACCCAGGATGAGGTCTGGGAGTCCCAAATGTGAAGCTTCGAGTATCCTCTCCCTGAGGAATCAGGACACACCACCCTCCTGGCACACTGATATGTAACAACACACACAAAGTACTGTCAACCAGGGAAGCTCACACAGCTCTGGGGTATCATTACATAGGCTTGATCGATTGATCAAATCATGGTTGATTGAATCACAGGTGACTGAGCTCTACTTCCAGCTCCCCTCTCCTCTCTCCAAGTTGGACTAATATCAGGAGGATAAAAGCCCCAAACCTGAGGGGATGGTGGGAACCTCTGAATTTGTAGCCAGTTGGTCAGAAGGGAGGGTGGCCTTGGGAACCTCAAACTTTATGGCTGGTATCTGAAGTGAGAGCAGTCTTAACCTATGAAGCTTGGTCTAACTTTAGGTAGTGTCCGAAGTCACTGCAACACTGTAGGCAGTATGACCCTCACTTTGTAAATGAGGGAATTTAGGCACAGGGAGAGGTCGAGTCACTTGCCCAAGATCTGACAGTGGCAGAGCCAAGGTTTGTACACAGGTTTGCTTGGCTCCAATCCTGTGTCCTTAAATATTGTCCCTTAATGATTGGATAAATCAAGAATTCAAGTATTCACATTGATAAGCAAATTATGTATACCCACATATTTTATGGAAAATCTCCCAATAATAATGCCAGGTTTTTCATCCTACTGATGGATCACTAACAAGTAACATAATGGGACCCTTTATTTTGTTAAGTAATAGTAGTTTTCCATATAGCATTTAGAATTACTCCTACCATTCTCATCACAGTATATACTAGAGACCAAAAATTACTCAAAAACAAATGTTAAAACAAAAAAAGATTTTTGAAATACTATAAATACTATTACAGAACACTGCCATAACCTCAGCGATTTTCCAAATTCACAAACTTGAACACTGCTGACTTACTTCTTCAGCAGACATGTGAAATCGTAAAGCACTTGGCAAGACACTGCCACATTCCCACCTGAGTGCTCTAATCCGAAGCAATCGGTCATACCTAGGACATTAATAAGGTATTAGATGGCATAACAGAGGGATATCAGAAGTTGTTTTCATCAAGAGAGACTCCAGACTCAACCACCAAAATTTAACATGTGGACTTTTATTTGGTTCCTGAGGCAAACAAACCATTGTAAGAGGACATCTTTGGGACAACAGGGAGAATAGGAATACAGTATGGATGGATGCTGTGAAGTCGGGTTCATTCCTCTAGGTATGAGAATCATAGTGGTCATGTAAGAAAAGGTCCATAAGGTCCTTATTTCTTAGAGATGCATACTAAGGTATTCAGCGGTAAAATGCCCGAAGTTCTACAATGTTTTAGCAGAGACAAATAAAACAAGATGAAGCAATCATGGCAAAATGTTAAGAATTGTTAAGCCTATATGATGGCTCCATGGGGGTTTGTAATATTATTCCCTAATTTTATGAATACTGCAATTTTTCATTATAAAAAAAGTTTAAATAGAAAAAAGAGAAGAATTTAGAATGCTCATAAAAGAGAGGCAAATCTAAGAATTCCTGTTATCCATATAAAATGGTTAATTAGGAAACCACATGGGAACCCTCCACTGCTCCCTGCCACCCCAGCAAACACAGAGAAGCTCACAGGTATGCTACAGTGCAGCGCTGATTTCTTAACAAAGAACAGTGTCGAAACTTGATGGTTGGTATCAAATCACTTCGTCCACCTGACTTCGCTTCATTCCTGGTAAAACATTTAAGGAGGAAAAGAATGTCTATTTCAGTATATGTCAAATTTTCCAAGCCAACTAACAAGTGACTCCATGCTTGTTTTTATCCATTTAGTTAGCGGTTAACCTACCCAAATAGTACCTGCCTCCACATCAGAGCTTTTGCTAACATGTTAAAAGATTAAAAAAGCCAAAAGCTAACTAATTTGCCTGGGATCACACTCCCAGTGTTTTGTTTAGCCATGTGGCACTTTGCATTTTGCACACTGATTAATCTCCATTGTCTCCAAAAGACAAATATTGTGTTTCCTCACTTTTTGGAATCCCTTTTTCATGGTGGGATAAGAGACAGGTCGAATATCATGGTGCATAAGATTATGGCCTCACATCATGTTCTGATCCTATGGAGTCCTCTTTTTGTGGTACTTCCAAATCCTCATTCTAATAAAGTGAGCTAAGAATTCTGGAGTCAGATGGTCCTCCACTCATCCAACAAATATTTATTGATCTTCAACTATGTGCATGTTCTGTACTTTAGGGTCCGTCACACAGAAAGGGAGAAAATTTTGGTTTTACCCTATAAAATATATATCTCCTTGGTTATTAGACGAGTATTGCACTTTAAAACCAGATGTTTGGGAATTCCCTGGTGCTCCAGTGGTTAGGACTCTGCACTTTCACTGCTGAGGGCACGGGTTCAATCCCTAGTCAGGGAACTAAGATCCCGCAAGTCTCGTGGCACAGCCAATAAATAAATAAATAAAATAAAATCAAACCAAATGTACAATTGTTTAATGGGTATAGTGTTTCAGTTTTACAAGATGAAGAGTTCTGGAGATGATGGTGATCGCTATATGACATTATGAATGTACTGAATACACTGAACTGTATGCTGAAAAATGGTTAAGATGGGGGACTTCTCTGGTGGTCCAGTAATTGGGACTCCACACTTCCACTGCAGGGCAGGGGGCAGGGAACTAGGATCCCACATGCCCCATAGTGTGGCCAAAAAAAAAAAGTTAAGATAGCAAATTTTATGTGATGTGTATTTTACCATAATAAAAAAAGAACTGGAAACAAAACAAAACAAAGCCAGGTATACAGAATGAATTAGAATCTACTCTGGAGTTTTAAAAGGAAACAAATACAAAATATACGTGCCTGCTCCAGGCCCTGAAAATAGAGGTAAAATATATGTCCCATTTTACCATGTCTTCCAGATTGTTCTATACACTTCTGCCACTCTACAAACATTAGATATATTCTCAACATTTTTTTGTTGTTGTTTTTTGTTTTTGGCCACACCAAGAGGCTTGCAGGATCTGAGTTCCCCAACCAGGAATCGAACCCGTGCCCCCTGCAGTGGAAACACAGAGTCCCAACCACTGGACCACCAGGGAATTCCCTATTCTCCACATTGTTTACAATGTGCTCTGGATTATAAAGAAATAGCACAAATAAAATAGAGCCAACCTAACATCAGAGTACTTTATTAGGTACATAAGAACTTCCTTAAAAAACTCACATTTACACATGAGTAATTAAATAGGAATAGAGTTCTTCTGACAAATAATTTTAACCAGAAACTGGTAATAGTGACTGACCCCCGAGAACCAAACTAGGAGGATAGGGCACAGAATTTTGGATCATGAATTTCCAGATGGTATGAATACAGGAAAATCATCCTCTTACTGGACCAAGGCCTGTTAGGCCACCTCCTAAATATGTCTATAAACTGTTCACTTTCTCCCTAGTCTGGCTTACCTCTCCTGCCACCTGCATGACCAGCATGCCTCCCTATCCTCTCAGCCCCTCCATCTACTAACCACAGCAGCAGCCAGGGTGGTCTTTTAAAACACAAACATGCCTCCACCTGCCCCACATGCTTAAAAATCTCACCTGGTGTCACCCTTTGCCTGCTCACTAAGTTTCAGCCACACTGGCTTTCTTTAATGATCAGTTCCCTGAGCATCCCATCCTCTTTCATGACTCAGGGTCTTTGCATATGCTGTTTCCTCCACCTAGAATGCTCTCTGCCCCAATTACTGCCTCGCTAAAACCTGCTTCTCCTTCAGACCCCAGCTGAAATGTCTCTTCCTTGGAGAGAACTTCCCTGATTCCTCAATCTACTAATATTTTCAATTCATTATTCTCTCTCCTAGTGCTGTTGTTTTCCTTCATAGCATGTATTCCAACTTGGTGTATCTGTATTTAATATCTGCCTTCTGCCTTACACTGTGAGGGTCATGGGGGCAAAAATCTTGATTATGTTGTTCACAATTGAAATACCAGAGCCATTTATCAGCTCATAATTGTTTAGTACATATCTGCTGAATGAACAAATGAACAGTTTGGGAACCTGAGTTCAGGACTTTACATTTCCCTTACATTTACTGCAGACCTGTTGCAGTTCAGTTCCTTGTTCCATCTGTATCTATCCTTAAATACAGTAACTGCAAAATGTGCCTACTGTTCTGTGTACTCCACAAATCTTAACAGCATAGTACTGAATTCTATGTCCAACTAACTGATGAAAACACTCCCTAACAAGGCCAAACATGAAACCTCATGTTGCAGACAGGCTGAGATCTGAATACCTCGCCTTTGATCCAGCAGTTAGTAGTCTGTGTCTTACTCTTCACCAAATCACAGGACCCTATGAAGTTGGTCATTCAGCCCAAATTCTCCACTGGGCCAACTACCATGCTTGGCTCTAAATAGTCTGTAACTCAAGAACCCTCTCACCTACCAAGCCTTCTGTAGCACTAGTTCTCAGTGAACTCCATTCAAGATATTGTAAGTCACTGCTGCTCCTGCTAAGTTTACAAACTGCCTGTTCTCCTTTTAACCCACTAAGTCTTCTACTGATGAAAACAAGCAGTGGAAACAATACATTTCACTTATTAAGGTTGTTACTTACTCCTGTCTCATCTCTTTTAGGTCCACCCCAATTCCTTTCAAGTCATATCAGTCAAACAACAAATATTTATTGAACATCTACCATATGCCAAGCACTGTTTGAATCCCCATGGACACAGCAGTGATTAACACAAGTCCCTCTAGTTCTGTATAGTTAGGGTATGATCAGGCTCACAGAGAATTAGAAAAAACAAATCATATCTAAAATCTAATGTTGGGACTTCCCTGGTGGCGCAGTGGTTAAGAATCCGCCTGCCAATGCAAGGGACATGGGTTCAAGCCCTGGTCCAGGAAGATCCCACATGCCGCAGAGCAACTAAGTCTGTGCACCACAACTACTGAGCCTGCACTCTAGAGCCCGCAAGCCACAACTATTGAAGCCTGTGCGCCTAGAGCCTGTGCTCTGCAACAAGATAAGCAACCTCAATGAGAAGCCCACGCACCACAATGAAGAGTAGCCCCCGCTCACCGCAACTAGAGAAAGCCCGCGTACAGCAATAAAGACCTAACGCAGCCAAAAATAAATAAATAAATAATAAATTAATTTAAAAATAATAAAAAATTTAAAAAATTAAAACTAATGTTAAGATTATCTGATTTCAATATCATATTTCTTAAATTGTTTTAAAATATCAATCTTATCAACTTACACATCAGATTGGTTTTGTTCATATAAAGCTTTCATCTCCTCCAGAACTTGCCTGAGTCCATCCTCCTAGAACATATAAAATTACGCTCATTAATTCCCCCACCAAGTTTGTAGCAATATTTTATCTATGTTTATCTTTGATTTATGTATGTTATCAAAAACCAATAGTACAGGACTTCCCTGGTGGCGCAGTGGTTAAGAATCCGCCTGCCAATGCAGGGGACACGGGTTCAAGCCCTGGTCCAGGAAGATCCCACATGCCGCAGAGCAACTAAGCCCATGCGCCACAACTACTGAGCCCACGTGCCACAACTACTGAAGCCCTCACGCCTAGAGCCTGCGCTCTGCAACAAGAGAAGCCACTGCAATGAGAAGTTCATGCACCACAACAAAGGGTAGCCTCTGCTCGTCGCAACTAGAGGAAGCCCACGCACAGCAACGAAGACCTGACAAGTGTTGGAGAGGATGGGGCGAAATTGGAACCCTTGTACAATGCAGGTAGGAATGTAAAATGGTACAGCCCTGTAGAAAACAGTCTGATGAGTCCACACAAAGTTAAACACAGAATTACCATATTAACCAGCAATTCCACTCCCAGGTATATGCTCAAGAGAACTGAAAACCTATGTTCATACAGAAACTTGTACACAAATGTTCAGAGCAGCATTATTCATAACAGCCAAAAAGTGGAAACAACCCAAATGTCCAACTGATGAACAGATAAACCAAATACTGTATATCCATTCAATGTAATATTATTCAGCCAAAAAAAGAAATGAAGTACTGATACATGCAACAACATGGATGAACCTTGAAAACATTACACTTAGTGAAATAAGCCAGACACAGAAGGACAAATATTGTATGATTCCACTTATCTGAAACAGGCAAATTCACAGAGACAAAGTAGATTAGAGGTTACCAGGAGCTGAGGGGAAAGAGGAGTGGGGAGTTACTGCTTAAAGGTTATAGAGTTTGTTTGGGGTTATGAAAAGTTTTGGAAACAAGAGTGATGGTTGCACAACAATGTGAATATAATTAATGCCACTGAAGTGTATACTTAAAAATGGCCAATTTTAAGTTATGTATATTTTACCATAATTTAAAAAAATAAAAAGAAATGAATTACTAACACAAAATACACAATTAACATACTGATTAAGGATAATCTTAAATATACTGTACTGAGTAAAGAAGTCACACAGAAAGGAGTACACACTGTATGCTTCCAACTGGCCCCGTCCAGAAAAGTTTGCAACTCCGAGCATGCTGACTCCAGAAATACATTTAAAAAGACAAATATAATCTGTAGCACAGAAAGAAAATCCATGGTTGCCTAAGGCTGCAGATGGGAGGTAGCTAGTAGTTACAAAAGAGAAAAGGGAATCCTTGGGGTGACAGAAATCTTGATTGGGTTGCTGGTTATAAGGATTGTATACATTTGTCAAAATTCAAATGTCTATTAAAATGTGTATTTGTTGTATATAAATTATACCTCGATAAAACTAATGACAAAAAAAATCAATAGCCCTACAGAAGCAATAATGCATGACAAAAGTACATAAATAATTTATTATTTATTGGAAAATGATCTTAAAAGGTTACTACCAAAAAAAACCCCACTGCTAGAATAGAAAATAGAAAGGTCAAAGGTGTTTTTCTACTTGAGCAAATCATTAGAGAAATCATTAGGCAAATCATTAGAGACAAGCAAATCAAAACCACAATGAGGTATCACCTCACACCAGTCAGAATGGCCATCATCAAAAAACTACAATAAATGCTGGAGAGGGTGTGGAGAAAAGGGAACCCTCCTGCACTGTTGAGGGGAATGTAAATCGATACAGCCACTATGGAGAACAGTATGGAGGTTCCTTAAAAAACTAAAAATAGAATTACCATATGACCCAGCAATCCGACTACTGGGCATATACACAGAGAATACCATAATTCAAAAAGATGCATGCACCCCAATGTTCATTGCAGCACTATTTACAACAGCCAGGACATGGAAGCAACCTAAATGTCCATCAACTGATGAATGGATAAAGAAGATGTGGTATATAAATACAATGGAATACTACTCAGCCATAAAAAGGAACGAAATTGAGTCATTTGTAAGGATGTGGACAGACCTAGAGTTTGTCATACAGAGTGATGTAAGTCAGAAAGAGAAAAACAAATACCATATTTTAACGCATATATATGGAATCTTGAAAAATGGTACTGATGAACCTAGTGGCAGGGCAGGAATAGAGATGCATACATAGAGAACGGACTTGTGGACACAGAGGGGGAAGGGGAGGGTGAGACGAATTGAGAGAGAAGCACTGACATATATACACTACCATGTATAAAATAGATAGCTAGTGGGAAGCTGCAGTATAGCAGAGGGAGATCAGCTCGGTGCTTTGTGATGACCTAGAGGGGTGGGATGGGGAGGGTGGGAGGGAGGCTCAAGAGGGAGGGGATATGGGGATATATGTAAACATATAGCTGATTCACTTTGTTGTACAGCAGAAACTAACACAACATTGTAAAGCAATTGCAATCCAATAAAGATATAAAACACACACGCACACAAAATTTTCCCTTGGAAGGATAAAAACATTAGAATTATAAAATTCATAAATGTCACACAATAAGTCTGTCAACAAGCAACCTCTACACCTGAAACATTGTAAACCAACTATACTTCAACTGAAAATTTTTTAAAAAGGAGAAAAAAACCACTAATGCTATAACAACAACCAAAAAAACCCCACCCAAAACAAAACAAAGATAAGTAACCTATCTACTTTTAGAGCCAAAATATATGCATTAGCAAAAGTGCTTTGGCACTACTGGTATAATTACAGAATTACACTTTACTTAACCCTGCTCGAACATAAGAAATGATTCTTGATGAAAAAATGAAAGCATGATTTCTACCTTTTCTTTCATCAGCTGGTTAAAAAGAGATCATAGAAAAGTCTGATTTATTAGAATTCAGTTAAATATTCCATTTATTACAAATATTGTTTTAAGGAATAGTTGAAACTCTTGCACAATTAGTAGATCAGCAGGTATACAAAAGACAAGTGGGAAATAATTTTTTAAAGATACCTAAAATAATTTTCCTAAAAACTCACTTAAACGATTACCAGTTCTGCATGTAGAAAGTGCATAATCATTCCAATTGGCTGAACACAGCACCTAACCATGAGGGATTATGGAATGAACAAGGCAGAGTCCCTGCTCTAAACCAGCCATCATCTGCCTGGAAGGAATAATTCTTGAAAGTCTGTGTGGTCAAGAGTGTGTGGGGTCAATCAGATCAATTCTTGGTCTCAGCTCAGCTGTGCCAGTGGCCGGCCTCGAAGGCAGGCACGACTGCAAGAAAAAGTGCACCTCCGCCAACTAAGACCCAGAAAAGCGAGTGATTTTACAACTTCTAAGTCCGCCCCTGAGCCCCCCACCCCGAAGTGCGAAACCAACACTTATCCTAAAATGTGAGTGAAAAAGAGAGCTGGACTAAGGGTCTGAATAGCCAGCACTGTGGGCAGTCTCTGAGCCCTTGGGCTGGTTTCCTCCCATGTACCACGGCCCCCAAAGGACCTAGTCTTCCGACCCCAGAGGGGCCACATTTGACAGCCTCCACGCCTCTGCATTCCAGCGTCTCTACTGAACCTCCCACTGTGGTCTCCCAACTTTTTAGATGAAGTAACTGTCTGAAGTTGCAAGAGCAACAGACTGGACTCCAGGAAACCTGTATTCAGATTGAGGCTCTGGCTCCAATATGCTGCAAGTTCAGGCAAGTTGCGTAACTGGATCCATAATTTCCGCGGCTCAGTTTCCCCATCCGTTAAAAGACCTAAGTGTCAAACTAACTGCTCTTTAATGTTCAAAACAAAACTCACCTTCCCCAAACACTCTTCCTGCTGACCTCCGATGTTTATTCCGCTACCAGAGAAAGAAGCCTCCCGAGATGCCGACCCCTCTCCGCCCCCACTATCCATCCCATCTCCAGCCCTGTCCTCGTAGCTACAAGTCCTGCTGTCTCAGGACACGGCTTTCAGCACCCGCTGACCGGGCAGTTCGGACCATACACAGCTTTCGTGTGGTCTACTGTAACCACCCAGAGCCATTCTTTCTTCTCTTCGATCCATTCCCCAAAGTTCCGCCACAGTTATCTTCAAAACACGAAGAGTTACCCCATCGCTGCCCTGAAATGCCTTGTGCGTGAACAGCAAACCTCCCGGCCCCGGAGCCCCCGTGCGGCCCGCGCACCCAGCGCCGGTCGCCCTTCGCCGGCGGGGAGAGGATGTCCGCACCGCCGGCTCCCCGGCGGGGCTGCGCTCACCGCATCCTCCCAGGCGCGGCCCTAACGCCCCGCTACCCCGGTCCACACCTCCCCAGTGCAACTCACACCTGCGCTCCAGCACCCGTCTCCGGGCCTCTCCGGCGCGTCACCGGGGCGAGACGCCGACCGTCCAGACCGCGCGCGGGAAGCCGCAGAAACCAACCCGGCCACATACACCGCGGAGAACCACGGGCACACCCGCCGTCCCGTCCCGTCCCGGCTGCGCAGTCCCCAGAAAAGCCACCCCTGGGAGGCTCCCGCCCGCCCGCCGCCCTCACGTTGAAGGCCGGCAGCCTTCCCTCGGCCGCGCGGTGCAGCTCGCGGACCAGCTCCATGGCCCTCTCGCAGAACATGGTGGACGCACCGGCCCTTACAAACAACCGGCTCTCAGTCAAACTGCCGCCTAACCAGGCCCTACGATTTCAACTCCTACAGGTCCGCGACGCGCTGGGCCGACCCCGCCTCCGCCCCGCTTTGGCGCCCAAACGCGCAACCAATAGGAGCGCACTGCCGGCCTCCAGGCTACGGCGGCGGCCAGGGGACATTTGCCTCCGCTCTGCAGCCGCAGTGCCACAGGAAGCCCCACACCTGCGCGGTTGCGGACCTTGGTGTGGCTTCAGCCCAGCCCTCCTGTCCAGGCCTTGGTCTGAGCTCAGGCTGAGCCGCAGGACAACTCCCGCGCAGCACAGCTCGGGATGGACGTACGTCCCCTTTTCCATTGGATTCATTCATTCTCGTTTAGGTTAACGGGGACGCGCACGATGCGGTCTAGAAGGCAGACCCGGCAAAGGTGTGCAGTGATGTTAGCACCTAGCGTTGCGTCTGTTCCGTTTTGCAGTGTGGGTTTGTTTGTGTGATGGTAAAGGGAAAACAACTTTTATTGGGTATCTCTTGTGTGCTAGGGACTGTGACATACTTCACGTAATTCTCACGATTATCCTTAAAGTGGTTATTAAGACTCTTGGTACTGATTAGAAAACAAGTTAGAGAACTTGCCCAAGGTCACACAGTTCGTAAAGTGACAGACCCTGTATTTAAGCCTTCAACTCCACCGTACTACATTTGATATTAAATCAGTCATTTAAAAACATGTGTACAATAACTCACAAGGTGGTGGTTGGGGATTGCCCTAGATTAACATGAATACACATAGCCATATTCCCGCCGAGATGATTACAGAAATTTTCATAACCATATAGAATCAAAGGTGGGAATTACTGCTATGGAAACAATTCGTTTTATTTGGCATTTTTTTTTTTTTTGGCCCCGCGATGTGACATGCGGGGTCTTAGTTCTCAAACCCATGCCCCCTGCAGTGGAAGTGCGCAGAGTCCTAACCACTGGACCACCAGGGAATTCCCGTGGCTATTTTTTTTTTTTTTTAAACAGTGTTACTTTGGACTTCTCTGGAAGTCCAGTGGTTAAGAATCCATGCTTCCACTGCAGGGGGCGCTGGTTCCATCTCTGGTCAGGAACTAAGATCTCACATGCCAAGCGGCCAATAAATAAATAAAATAAACAAACAACGTTACTTGGATCCATTCTATCTAACCCTAGAAACTTTGTTCCTCTTTTGCAAGTATAGATACAGTAGATGTGTGGTCTGAGAAATGAGCCTGGGAATAGCCTACAAAGCCTCTGAATCTTATCCTTACGTTGAGTGACCTTTCCTTCCCAGCTCTACAGTAATGGATAATTTAGCTAAGTGTTTTTATCAAATACACAATTCTATAGTGTAATCCAAGGAACACCAGTATCCACAACCTTCCTTTGCCATAAACCTTTTCAATTTCAGACCTCAGGCCTGAGACTCACTTCCTTACCTATACAGTGGGGGCAGTAGTACCCACTTCTGGGGGTTTGTGATGATTCATTATTCCTTCAGCAGATATTTATGAAGTGCATATTCAGCATTGTTCTGGACACTGAAGATAAAGCAGCAAAGTCCCTGCCGTCAGAGTCTACGTTCTAGTGTGGGAAACAGCAATACGCAGGTACAGATATACTGATGACAAATATATTGGTGAAAAGTGCTAAGAAGAGTATAAGTCAGGGCATATATGTATAAAATAGATAACTAATGAGAACCTGTTGTTTAGCATGGGGAACTCTGCTCAATGATCTGTGGTGACCTAAATGGGAAGGAAATCTAAAAAAGAGTGGATATATGTATACCTCTAACTGATTCATCTTGCTGTACAGCAGAAACTAACACAATGGTATAAAGCAACTATACTCCAGTAAAAATTAAAAAAAAAAAAAGAGTGTAAGTCAGGGAAGGTGAACTGTGACAGTGAGAGGGCCTGAAGGTTTCGAGTTAGTGTTCAGAGAAGGCACAGACCTAAAGTGGAAGGGAGTTAGCCATGTGGATATGATGACTCATGTACATGCCACCCACACCCTGGGGCCCCTGCCTCAGCAAGGAGGCAGTGATACTGGAGCAGGGTGAGCTAGAGAGAGGCTGGTGGCTGGGAACAGAGTGAGGGCTGAGCAGTGGCTGAGGCCAAGTCAAGTAGGCCCGTTGGCCCATTTCATAAGCTTTCGGTTTTATTTTCCACGAGGTGGGGAGCCATTGAAGTGTTTTGAGCAAATAAGTGACAGAACTGGATCTAGGGTTTTTAAAAAGACCTTTGTGGCCACTGGATTACGTAGACAGAAGTGAGGCAGGAGACCATTTAGGCTATTATAAGAATCCAAGTGAGGGATTATGGCACTTTGGCCCATGGTGGAGGTGGTGAGAAGTGGTTGATCCTGGATAGATTTTGAAAGGAGAGCTGACCAGGCTTGGTGATAGACCTGCTGTGTCGTGAGAAGGGAGGAATCAAGGATGACTCAAAGGCTTTGGCCTGAGGAACTGTAAGGATGGACTTAGCATTCGGGATGTGGGGAAGGCTATGGATGGAGCTGGGAGCATTCTGGAGGTGGGGAAGGTTATGGATGGAGCTGGGGTGGGAGAAGAGCTGAGAGCTCAGCTTTGAACATGATTTTAGGTGCCTGTTGGATGTCAGAGTGGATGAGTAGACCACTGGATAGAGGAGCCTGGAGTTCAAGGAAGAGGTGTGGACTGGAGATACAAATGTAGGTGTCCCCATTGTAGGGTGACCTGGATAAGATTAGAGCCTGGATAAGATTACTTATAGAGTGAGTGTGGACCAAGAGTTGAGGACTGGAGCAAGGCCTAATACCAGCAAGAAAGACTCAGTACCCCTTACTCTCTTCTTTCCAGCCCTCCCTTCCTAGCTTTTTTGTTTTTCTATTCATTGGAAAGGATTTAGTGAGTGATAGAGTAAAAAAATGTTTTACACTTTATTTTCTGGATTCCCAGTCTCCAGTATGTGCTTCTACATTACTTTAAAGAATTCACCAAAAGTATATTTGGACAAATATGAATGCTGGTTGTGATATTTAGTAATATGGTCAGTGAAATTCTTTTGCAATTTCTAAGTATCATTACAAAGCTAATATAAGGAGCTATTGAATTTCTAAAGACATTTCTAATTGATCTTAAGTTATCAGTTGCCAATAGTTTTCACTGGCACAAATGTTGAAATTACAAGTTACTTTGTAATAAATAAGTGAATCTCTTGGTTGTAGATCATTTGTAAAAAAAATGAAATAATTCCATATTAAAGAAAGCCAAAGCTATAAAACTGAATAGGTGAAACTGCTCTTTCCTTTCTGTTTTTAGGATGGGTTGAATTAGTACTTAATTTGTGTTTCACAAGTGGGAATTTGTGAAATGGATTCTTCCCCCATCAGCTAGTTCTGCTTTATAAAAATCTAATACTGGTTTTTTAAAAAAGTAAAATTTTTAAGCAGCTCAGTTTTCAAACGTTCGGCCCAAAAAAAAAAGAAACATCTATACATTTCTGTTTCAAATTAAAAAACAAAACTACCAGATCACATATTTTTTAAAGAAAAGTCCTTGTGGGAAAATAGTTATAAATCATTATTAGGACAGAATTGTCATGTCACCTTTTTCTTTTTGTTGTGTAAATTCTTATAAAACGTTTTCAGGAGTTTCCACTGTTGGGAGGAGTCAGAGAGCCGGGGATATGCGCGGAGCACCCTTCGGGCCGCTGCAGTGGGCACCAGGCGGCCTCGTGTCTGACCTAGCCCGACCCCTGCCCAGCGATACTCCGCCAGTCAGCCGCGCCCGAACGGTGACGCGCCTTGCGGCTTCGTTTGCCCGTGTCCAAGATGGCTGCGATCGCCGCTGGGGATGTTGGGCGCGCCGGGCGCCGGGTAGGGGGCCCCGGCCGGCGTACCCGCCTACAGCCACTCAGCGCTGGCCAATCAGCGCCGGGAGGCCGCCGGCCCCGCCCCGACCCCGGCCGGCAGGGACGTCAGGGCGGCGGGCTCCAAGCGGCGGCGGCGGTGGAGGCTCACCTGAGCGGCTGCTCCCCTGAGCGGCGGCCGGCGGCGAGGCCCAGGGCGAGGGTGAGGCCGGCGGTGCTGGCCACGGGATGAGGAAGCGGACCGAGCCCGTCGCCCTGGAGCATGAGCGCCACGCCGCCTCGGGCTCGTCCTCCGCCGGCTCGGCCGCCGCGGCGCTGGACGCCGACTGCCGCCTGAAGCAGAACCTGTACCTGGCGGGCCCCGGGCCGGCCGAGCCGCGCTGCGCCGCCGACGCAGGCATGAAGCGGGCGCTGGGCAGGTGAGGAGCGGCGGAGGCGGCCCGGGACCCACAACCCTCCGGAGCTACTTGCCCTCCGCCCCGCGTGCCCCCCGACCCTCTCCGGGCGTCCCCGGTGCCTTCCCCGTGGTCCCCCTCTGGCCCCCGCGCCCCCTTCCTTCCCGGGCGGGCCTGGGGGGCCCCTCCAGCGACCGGCAGGTGAGCGCCTCTCGACGTGGGTGGCGAGCTCCTGGACGCCCGGGAGCGCCGACTCCGCTCCGACCTGCTCTGCGTCCGACTCCGACCCATCGTCCCTCTCGCCGGGTGGGCAGCTCACCGGTGCCTGAGTCTCCGCGGCACCCTCTGCTTGAAGCTGCCGGTCCCTCGGGGACGGCTGAGGGGGTCGGCCGTGTGCAGGGACATGGGGTGCACCGCATCCTCGGCTGTCGAGGGGGTGGGGGGAAGCCCGGCGTTCGCGAGCAGCTGGCTGGTGGTACGTGGAATGTGTCCGCAGGAGTCGTCTCCTTGGGAATCTCCGTCCCGTCCGGAAGTCACCTGGTTATTTTCGGTCTCCCTTTGGGGAGATGAATGCGTTTATGTTAAATTAATCTCACAGTTGGGATAGGGGCATATTTCACGCGGGCAAGTCTCTCCCCATAGTCTGGCTGTTTGTAGAACGTATCACTCATGGCAGTTTTGAAGTCTTGATGTTTCAGTGGTGTTTGAAGAAGTTAGTATGTAATGTTCTCAGGTGTTGTAGCAGAGTCACTTATTTTGGGGTCAACTGGAATGCCCTTAATTGACACTGGCCACTTCCGTGTAAAATATTTATCCAAACAGCCCCTAAAAACATCAGCTGCATTGCCTGAAAGATCATGAAATTAAACTATATACTTCTCTAAGTGAGTGGTTTCCAGTCCTGCCAGAAGTTCAGGAACTGACAATATTTTTGTTTTTGTGTAAAATTATCTAGCAACTGGTGAGTATCTTTTGTGAAACTAAGCTGTTCTGTGGAAAGGTTTATCTGCATTAAAAACTCACAATTGGCTTTAATGCACTTTTAGTAACAAGCTTGACATAGCACTTAGATAGGTTGGGAACTCTTCCTCTGAAGAAATCAAGTTGTGATGCACAATGTCTGGGGAAACAGTGCTGGCCTGGCACCTTCCTTGAAAGATGTACTGTATTAAAAGGATCTGATTATTTTTATTTTTGAGTTGAAGACAAAGAGAGACATTCAAGTGGTGCCATGTCCTTTGGATAAACAAAAGGCTGTTACGGGAATAAAAAGAAAAGCAGAGGGCGGGAAGGCCAAATTTGTGTGTCAGCCCATGGCTTCCTTCCCTATTGCCTGAAATGCTCTCCTGGACGTTCTCCTGCTGTGTCTTCTCCTTCAACCAGGTCTCTGCTTTACTGTCATCTCTTCAGAGAGGCCTTCCCAGACCAGCACATCCAAAATAGCCTTCCTGCCGCCCCCAACTCCCCTATTCTGTTTACTTGTTTCTTCATCGCACTTATCCCTTAGCTCAGGGGTCCCCTGTGGTCCCCAGGCCACACAGCAGGTGAGCAGAGCAGCGGGAGAGCAGGGGAAGCTTCATCTTCCGCTCCCCATCACTCCCCATTACTCGCGTTACCGCCTGAACCATCCCCCCCCATCACTCACATTACTGCCTGAAACCATCCCCCTCCTTTCCGTGGAAAAACTGTCTTCCATGAAACTGGTGCCTGGTGCCAGAAAGGTTGGGGACCGCTGCCTTAGCTGACGGTGTGATTGCCTGCACACTTGACTTGCTTTGTGGGTAGTCTCCATGAGAACGGAAGCCCTCTGAGAGCAAGGACAATTTTTCTCTCAGCGTCTGTCTCCAGGGCCTGGCACATAGTAGGTGGAAGAAAATACTTGGGGAATGAATATCTAGAATAGATTCCTAGAATTGGAATTGCTGAGCCAAGGGGTGTGTGTTTATGACTTTGAAAGCAAAGGCCAAAGTGCCCTCCCAAGAAGTTGTACTGACACACCCTCCAGTAGTGTCAGTTGCCTGCCCCCCAATATTGAACATTACCAGATATTTTGATCTTTTTCTACTTGATTGATGAAAATGACATCTGATTTGTAACTTTAATTTGCATTTCTTAATGGTTAGGTGGCAATTTTTGTGTGTTTTTCTAAGCTCATTATACATCTTTGGGATTATTTACGTCTTTAATGATCCGCCTTTGTTTGGGTCCTCCTGCACATTTCTTTTAACTTTCTATTGTGCACGTGTTCAAATATACAAAAGTAGAGGAGACAGTATAATATAATGAATAGTCAATAGTTTTCCGTGTTTTGCCAATCTTGAATCATGTCTTCCTCCTCCCCTCCATTTTTAGTATGGTGGGGGACTAGGCTATTTTAAAGCAAATGATTTCATCCATAAATATTTCACAGTATATCATGAACAAATAAGGACTTTTTGAAATATATCTAACCCCAAAGCTATTATATTGTGTCAAAATTAACAATTTATAATCTGTAATTAATTTAATATTATCTAATATCCAGTCTACATATACATTTCCCTGTCTCAGAAATGTCTTTTTAAGTTAGTTTTAAAATCCTGTACATTTCTTAAGTTTATTCCTAGTATTTTATCTTTTTGTTGTTATTGAAAATAGAATATTTTCTTATATTACATATTGTAACTGGTTGTATTTATTACTTCTGTAACTAGCAACTTACATAATCTTAGTTTCAAGTAGTTTTTGCAGTTGTTTCTCGAATTTTCCAGGTATACTATCATGTCAGCTGCAAATAATAAGAATTTTGTCTCATTTTCTACTTTCTTATGTCTTTTGTTTCTTTCTCTTTTTTGGTTACATTGTATTTCCAGAACGAGGTTGAATAATAGGGATGATACTGGGTATCCTGACTTTAAAGAGAATTCTTTTAGTGTTTGTGCCACGTTAGTTATTTTAGTAAGGGGTGTGTTGCTGTTTTGTCATTTTTTAAGTCAAAAATGGTTGTTGAATTTTATCAAATGCTGTTTTAGCATCTGTGAAATTATCATATAAATTTTGTCTCTTGACCTGTTAGTATGCTGAGTTGTAGTAATAGATTTTATAATATTGAATCATCATTTTATCTTATTGAATCATCATTATTGAATCATCAATGATAACTCTTTTTTTTTTTTTTTTTTTTCCGGCACGCGGGCCTCTCACTGTTGTGGCCTCTCCCGCTGTAGAGCACAGGCTCCGGACGCCCAGGCTCAGCGGCCATGGCTCACGGGCCCAGCCGCTCCGCGGCATGTGGGATCTTCCTGGACCGGGGCATGAACCCGCGTCCCCTGCATCGGCGGGCGGACTCCCAACCACTGCACCACCAGGGAAGCCCAATGATAACTCTTATGGTGTAGACAGATTCTATTTATTAATATTTTACACCATTATTTGTGAGACTAGTCTGTAATTTTCTTGTTCAATGCCGTCTTTACCAAGTTGTTTTAGTGCTTTCTATAGCTTTATTAAAAGTTTTCTCTTTCTCTTCTTTAGCCAGTTTAAACACTTTTGAAATGATCTCTTTCTTTAAGTTTTGGTAGAATTCACCTGTAAAACTACCTAAGTGTGGTGCCTTTTTTTAGAATATAGCACTTTGATAACTATTATAGTTTCTTAGATTTGCTCTCTCTTTCTGGGTTCGGTTTTGGTGATTTATATGTTTATAGTAAATCATCTTTTATATCTAGCTTTTTCCTCTGTACCTGGGGCTGTTCCCTAGTCTTGTTTCCTATTTTATATACTTATACTTTTTTCCCCTTTTTTCTTGCTCTAGTACACACACACACACACACACACACACACACAGTAAAGTGGATTTTTTCCTAA